CCTGCCCTGACCCTGTGAGGCAGTGGCACGGGGTGGCAGCGCTCCTTCCCTGCCCACCCCTGTGTACACCCTGGGACCTTTCAAAGTACCCACAGGGGTACGTGTACTCCCGGTTGACAACCTCTGAGCTAGTAAATAGTAGAGAGGTACTTGGGGAGACAGATATTAGGTAGGTTTTAATGTGTCATGAATCCAAATTCTATGTTTGTCCATGATATTTTGTATCCAGTAGGTTGATGAAGTGAAGTTTGTAGGCTCGTCTGTGAAAGGTGTTTTTTAAATTCCCTTTGAGGATTAGAACTGAGAGATTGAGGAGAGAGTGGTTTTCTTGTGAGAAATGTGCCCCCACAGGTAATTGGTTATACTGGTCTTTGATAATTTTTTGCTGTGCATTCATTCTGGTGCGCAGTTCATAGATTTCATAGACATTTGGGCTGGAAGGGACCGCGGAAGATCATCAAGTCTAGCCCCCTGCCCCAGGGGCAGGAAGTCAGTGGGGATTATAGGATCCCAGCAAGATGAACATCCAAATGTGTCTTAAAGACATTCAAAGTGGGTGCTTGAACCACCTCTGGCAGCAGTCTATTCCAAACCTTGGGGGCTCGGACAGTAAAGAAGTTTTTCCTTATGTCCAGCCTGAATTGGTCGCGGAGGAGTTTGTGACCGTTTGATCTTGTCATCCCTTAGGGCGCTCTGGTGAACAGACGTTCCCCCAGATCCTGGTGAACACCCTGATAAACTTATAGGTGGCCACCAGATCACCCCTGAGCCTGCACTTTTCCATGCTGAAGAGTCCCATGGCTCTCAGCCTCTCATCATAAGGTCTGTTTTCCTGACCTCTGATCATGCACATGGCTCTCCTCTGCACTCTCTCAAGCTTCTCCACATCCTTTTTGAATTCTGGAGCCCAAAACTGGATGCAGTACTCCAGCTACAGCCTCACCAAGGCCGAGTGCAAGGGGAGAATGACATCCTGAGATTTGCTCGAGAAGCATCTATGGATGCAAGCCAGCATTTTGCTCGCTTTACTAGTTGCAGCATCACATTGAAGGCTCATGTTCATCTTGTGGTCAGTCATGACCCCCAAGTCCCCAGAGTTGTTGTTTAGTTTCTCCTACATATTTTTCATCAAGGCATTTGGTGCACTGGATAAGATATATTACTGGAGGATAAGATATATTTCTGGAGGTGCAGGTGTAGGATCCAGGAATGTTGATGGTTCTGTTGTGGGGTGTGGTTATTGTGGGAGTGGTGGAGATAAGTTGGCAGATTTTACATTTCTTGCCATGGCATGGTCTAGATCCATTTGGTGTGTTTTGGGTCACAGCAAGTTTGCTTCTGGTGATGAGGTTCACATTACATACAGGTTTCCCTCGCCAACCATGGGAGTTAGGTTCCTGAAAGTTCTTGTGGTTGGCAAAACCATGCTTGGTAAGACAAAAGGCTTATAGTGTCATAGTCATATTGTTATAGTGCTTAGGGTTGGAAGGGACCTAAACAAATTACCAGGTCCAACCCCCTGCCCCGGGCAGGAAGAGGTGCCGGGGTCACATCACCCCAGCCAAATATCTGTCCAGCCTCCTCTTTAAGACCCCCAAGGTAGGAGAGAGCACCACCTCCCTTGGGAGCCCATTTCAGAGCCTGGCAGGTCTAGCTGTAAAGTAATGTCTCCTGATGTACAGCCTGAACCTTCTCTCTAACAATTTGTGGCCATTATTCCTAGTAACCCCAGGTGGTGCCTGGTGGAACAGAGCCTCCCCCAATTCCCACTGGTCCCCCCGATGAGTTTGTAAACAGCCACCAGATCCCCTCTCAGCCTTCTCTTGTGTAGGCTGAATAGGTTCAGGCCCTTTAGCCTCTCTTTGTAGGGCCTGCCCTGCTGCCCTTTGACCATGTGAGTGGCCCTCCTCTGGACCCTCTGAATGCTAGCCACATCTCTTGAAGTGCAGTGCCCAGAACTGGATGCAGTATTCCAACTGTGGACTAACCAATGCCAAATAGAGGGGAAGGATCACCTCCCTGGACCTGCTTGTGATGCATCTGTAGATGCACAACAAGGTGCGGGTAGCCTTACTGACCGCTTCCTCACACTGGCGGCTAATGTTCATCTTGGAGTCAACAATGACTCCAAGATCCCTTTCTGCCACCGTGTTGACAAGAAGGGTGTTCCCCAGCCTGTAGGTGTGGTGCTGGTTCCTTCTCCCTAGATGTAGTACCTTGCACATGTCTGCATTGAATTCCATCCTATTCTCATCCTCCCACCTCTGTAATTTGTCTAGATCTAGCTGGATTCTGTCCCTCCCCTCCAGTATGCCCACCTCGCCCCACAACTTAGTGTCATCAGTGAATTTGAACAGCGTGCATTCCACATCCAGATCGCTGATAAAGATGTTAAACAGTACAGGCCCCAGGACCGAGCCCTGAGGGACTCCACTGCCCACATCCCTCCAGGTCGAAAACGACCCATCCACTACCACTCTCTGGGTGTGACCATCTAGCCAATTTGCCACTCATCTGACTGTGTAGGCATCAATGCCGCAGTCACCTAGTTGTTTTTAAGAGAATGTGGTGGGAAGCCATGTCAAAGGCCTTCTTAAAGTCCAGGAAGATGACATCCACCCCAACAGCCTCATCCAGGGACTTTGTGACCTGATCATAAAAAGAAACCAGGTTAGTCAGGCAGGACCTGCCCTCAATGAACCCGTGCTGGTTGCCCCTGAGCATTTCCTCCCCTACTGGGCCCTTGCAGATGTGCTCCTTGATAATTTTCTCAAAGATCTTCCCAAGGACTGAGGTAAGACTGACTGGCCTATAATTGCCGGGGTCCTCCTTTCTCCCCTTCTTGTAAATGGGGACCACATTGGCCCTTTTGCAATCCTCTGGAACCTGGCCAGTGCCCCATGAGCACTCATAGAGCCGTGCCAGGGGCCATGCTATGACCCCCACCAATTCCCTCAGCACCCTTGGGTGAAGAGCATCTGGACCTACTGATTTAAACACATCTAGCCTCTCCAAAAGTTCCCTAACTAGGTCGTTCTTGACCATAGGCATGGCAGAGCCTCCCCTGGGTCCATCCGCAGTTCTAGTGGGGGAGATGTCCTGGTCCCTTTTCAGGAGGCAAATAATTCATTAAAGAGGTCAGTTTTTTCATTTGCCGCAGTCACCAGATTGCCAAGCCTATCCTGTAGGGGCCCCACGTTACCTGGTGCCTTCTTACTTCCTATGTATTTGAAAAAGGACTTTTTATTATCCTTAATTCTGGTTGGTAGCCCTAGCTCCATCTCTGCCTTGGCCTTCCTAACAGCCTTCCTGCAGTCCCGAGCAACGGAGGTGTAATCCTCCTTGGTGATAGCCCCTTTCTTCCACTGTTTGTATGCCTCCTTTTTTGCCCCCAGGCATCCCTGGATGCCTTTGCCGAGCCATGGGGGCTTCTTAGCACTCCTGTTCCCCTTGATGTGCATTGGGATTGACTCCCTTTGAGCTCGGAGGATCATCTCCTTGAAAAACAACCACCCGTCTTGGACTCCCATCTCATTGAAGCTCCAGGACCCCAATGCCTCTCCTACTAACCTTCTTAGCTTACAGAAGTTTCCCCTCCTGAAGTCGAGGACCTCTGCCTTGCTGCTTGCTTTCACCACCCTGCACTGGATAGTAAATTCCAGCAGGCGATGATCACTGTCACCCAAACTTTTTTATTGGAAAAATGGGGTTAGGGACTTGAATATGAATAATAAAGGAACATACAGTGTATAAACATTATTTTTATTTACCTTTAACAGGTTAAAACAAGGTTCACTGTTGAGTAGTGGGACTTTTAAAGAAACTAATGATGAATGGCTGCTTCATTTTCTTTCAAAGATCTTTCTGGATGGACCTCCTTGTATGGTTTCATGAGGTCTTCCAGCCCTCACTTAAACTTCAAGCTTCTTTCCATGAAGGGGTCCATCTCAACCAGCAGGTCTGAGAGAGTCTTGGCTGCTAGAATGATCTTGTTAAGGTTGGCAAGATTTAGCTGTGACTGTACCACTACCTCTTCATCCTCATCGTCTTTTTCATCACTCAAGGCAGATTTGACAATCTCATCCAGGCCCTCTTCAGTCAGTTCTTCCACATGGGACTTGAGCTCCTCCACCACACTGACCTGTAGCTCTTCAAACCCCTCATCTCCCACGTCTCACACAAGCTCCATAATATGGTGTACATCAGCCTCTATTGTAGGGTACCGCTCCACTTCACAGACAAACCAGTTATTAAATCAGTCCATAAATACAATGGCAGTAACCCATACCTTGTGGTTGGACTTCCAAAAGATGGGCAGGTGGTTCTTGTTCTTCTTCTTGAGAGCATGTGGGTTCTGTGATTTGCAGGGGAGCATCGGCCTTACCATAAAGTCACCCGAAGCATTGGAGCACAGAAGAAGAGTTAACCTGTCCTTTGCTGCCTTGAAGCCCAGAGTAGACCTCTCTTCCTTCGATAGGAAGATTCAGGAAGGCATTCTTTTCCAGAACAAAGTCATCTTCATTGGCATTAAAGACCTGCTCTGGCTTATAACCCTTTTCCTCAATCAGCTTCTTCAGCTCAGGCAGGTACTGGGCAGTGGCTACGTGGTTTGCTGAAGCTGATTCCCCCATAATCTTCATGTTGTGAAGTCCATGTGTCGTCTTAAAGTTTTCGAACCACCCCTTGCTGACTTGAAAACTTGTGCGTTCATTCATGCCTTCATCCCCCGAGGTCTGGATGATGCGGTTGTAAATTCGCTTTACATTCTAACATATCACTTGACTGCTCAAAGGCACTTTCTTCTGTGTCTGGTCTTAAATCCAGATGCTAAGTGCTTTTTCCATTTTTTCTAAGCTATGATTGCATGGCATAAAGGTAACTTTAGCACTTCCCAGTGTACCACTTGCAACACTAGACCTAATAGTAGCCCCACTTTTCTTAATGGCTCTCACAGTGGATTCATTCACACCAAAATGCCTTCCTACTTTCGCCATACTCTCTCCATGTGCTAGATAATCCAACAACTCCAATTTTGTTTCCAAGGACATCACTTTCCTTGCCCTCTTTACAAATTGCTCACCTTCACCACTCACTCTCTTTGAGGCCGTGATTAAGGACAAAATGCAAAAATCACAAAGAAATTGGGAGAAAAATGTGGAGCACCTGTGACTGGATGTTAACGGTGTGAAGCACAACATTAGATAGAGTGTGCGTAAGGAGATGGGAGCACCACGGGTGGCTAGCAAGAGTGCAGATGATTTGAAATGACAGGTAGCAGGCTGATGCGTGGCCACAGAAAACCGTGGTCACTCAAAACTCTATACCATGGTAGCAAAAATGGTATATAGAATATTAAGTGTGGATTCTCAAAACCTTGGTTGGCAAAATTGTGGTTGGCGAGGGAAACCTGTATCTACAAGAGCAAGATTACAACTCGGAGTACAGAACCAAAGATATTACTGAACTTACACACTTCATGTATAAGTGTATGCAATACCTCATACTTCATGGCCTCACTTTTTTGGATGTGGCTAAAGTATACTAAGAGTACTATAAGTTGTGCACTTTAACTTCCACCCTATTTTACTGAGCACCCTATTTTTCCAAGAACTTATACACTTCAGCAGGTGCTGCCCAAAGCCGGAGCCTGGCCAGCCAGGGCCGCGCTCCATTGTTGGCCAGGCTCCACACAGCAGGAGTGATGCGGCTGCAGCTCCAGGAGGCCCCTAGAACTCCAGGCAAGGCTGCTGGGGCCAGCGCTCCCCTTTCCTACCCCACTTGGGGTAACTTGCAGCACACTAGAGTACATACAGCACAGGCATTCCCTGAGGACAACTAGCGGTGGCAAAAAGTGCACCACTGTTAGTTGTCCCCAGGGAACCCAACGTCTACACATCTGGATGTGGCCTTTGAGTGTAAAGAAGTTTACTTGAGTGGTAAAAGTGGACACTGAATGCATGCTAAAATACAGTGCCCCAGAGCAGACTGGATTAATCAAGTCTGCTGGAGCATGGTAATTACCACACTCCAGCCAGCCTCCGTGTCTCATGTATCAGTGTCCTCGTGTTTCAGAATGGTGGCAGGGGCTCTTTAAGTAAAGCTTATTTGATGAACTTTAGATAAGGAGCCCCCGCCACGATTTTGAAGTGTGGGGATGCTGATATACAAGACGTATCCAAGAGCTGCTCTAATTAAAGCACCCCCCTACACCCAGAGCACATGTAGAAATGTCTGGAGGTACTAGATTCAATGCACATTAACTAAAGTGCATTAATGCATGTGTGGACATCCCAATGTGGAATAATCAGAGCACTATACAATCACACACTAGTGTACTGAGCACTATCTTGCCTGTATAGACAAGCCTTCAGATTCAAAATTAACTGAAATTTACTTGCAGTACAATGTTAGGATTATACTGGATAAGAAACGAACTTCAAGTAGATTAAAAGCTGGCTGAAAGACTGTAAACAGAGGATAATGGAAGATAAACACCAATGTTTTGATTTAGGAACAGCTGTCTAGTCAGATGCTACAAGGTTTGCTGTTCAAGATAGCATAATTTAATAGACTTACCCAGTGATCTACACTAGGAAGTAAACAGAATGCTAATGAAATATGCAGCTAATGCTGGTACTATCTTGAGAGGAGATACAGATACCACTGATGACAAAAATGTTATACAAACGAATCTAAAGGGACTAGATACAGGAGGAGATACAATTGGGGATAGGGGAGATGCAATCCAGTGCTTCTGGGAAGAAAACACTCTAAAGCGAATTGAAATGAAAACACAGGAAAACAGCAGAATTCAGAAGACCTTGGAGTGACAGTGGGGAACAAATCAGAATGGCATGTACAATCAACATAGCAGGGAAAAAATCCAGTACAGTATTGAACTGTGTACACAAAGGCATTGCACACAAAGGCATTGCACTTTGGAGCCCAGGGGTAGCATTCTCTTTCTCTCTCTCTGGCTATGGCAGTGTTGTTAATCCTGAATTAGGCTTCAACAAAAATTATGACATTGGCTTAAAAACCATCAGACAATAACAATACATTTAGTGGGGTTTTTTTACTTGCCTTCTATTTTTTTAACCTTTAGAGTTCATGCTTTCAAGATTTCTCTGAAAGTGACAGCTAGAAATTTACTTTGCAAAAAAGTTGAGATTCTCACATGATCTCACTTCCAGAAGTGATGTCTTGAAGCAAAGCACTTAAACTCACAAAAGTTAGGAAAACGGCTATTGTACATATTCCACTGAAGTATACAGTTAAATCATGCATCTTTTATTAGACCAACTCAAATAGTTGGAAAAATTCTTCTTTGCAAGCTTTTGGGTACAACTACCCTTTGTCACGCTCAGGAAGCATCTGCAGTTGGTCTGTGCTCTTCCTGGATGCAATAATGAAGAAGCCAGAGGCTGGTATGCATGTCTGTGGTGCCACATACTGCATGTTCAATTGTTTATTGCAATACACGGGAGCAGTGCAGAGAGTTTTTTTGACCCCTGGATACCCTACTAAGAGTACCAGACGTAATGAACTCTAACTTCCACCCTATTTTACTGAGCACCCTATTATTCTCTGCGTACAAGCCCTAAAATAGGAGACCAAGGTAGACTTGGATTAGCAAGAAATTACGAGGAGAAAAGTATTAATTTAAAGTTTATTTAAATAGTTCTGCTATTTATAGATTCATAGATTCATAGATGTTAGGGTTGGAAGGGACCTCAATAGATCATCGAGTCCGACCCCCTGCACAGGCAGGAAAGTGTGCTGGGTTTAGATGACCCCAGCTAGATGCCTATCTAACCTCCTCTTGAAGACCCCTAGGGTAGGGGAGAGCACCACCTCCCTTGGGAGCCCATTCCAGACTTTGGCCACTCTAACTGTGAAGAAGTTCTTCCTAATGTCTAGTCTAAATCTGCTCTCTGCTAGCTTATGGCCATTATTTCTTGTAACCCCCAGGGGCGCCTTGGTGAGTAAAGCCTCACCAATTCCCTTCTGTGCCCCCATGATGAACTTATAGGCAGCCACAAGGCCACCTCTCAACCTTTTCTTGTGGAGGCTGAAGAGGTCCAGGTGCCCTAGTCTCTCCTCATAGGGCTTGGCCTGCAAGCCCTTAACCATACGAGTGGCCCTTCTCTGGACCCTC